TCTGTGACACAACACGTATCACGACGTGTTTACATATATCATCTATGACACAACACGTATCACGACGTGTTTACATATATCATCTATGACACAACACGTATCACAGCGTGTTTACATATATCATCTATGACACAACACGTATCACAGCGTGTTTACATATATCATCTATGACACAACACGTATCACGACGTGTTTACATATATCATCTGTGACACAACACGTATCACGACGTGTTTACATATATCATCTATGACACAACACGTTTCACGACGTGTTTACATATATCATCTATGACACAACACGTATCACGGCGTGTTTACACATATCATCTATGACACAACACGTATCACGACGTGTTTACATATATCATCTATGACACAACACGTATCACGACATGTTTACATATATCATCTGTGACACAACACGTATCACGGCGTGTTTACATATATCATCTATGACACAACACGTATCACGGCGTGTTTACACATATCATCTATTACACAACACGTATCACGACGTGTTTACATATATCATCTGTGACACAACACGTATCACGACGTGTTTACATATATCATCTGTGACACAACACGTATCACGACGTGTTTACAAACATCAAAAACACAAGTTTCATGACAAGTTTAGAAATATCAGAAAAGACACAACATACATCACAGCGAGTTAACAAACCTGCACTGACTGACGACACTCACTAAAACAATGACAGATGTAAAGAAATGTTCATTATATATTCATAGATTACTGAACTCTCAGCGTGTAGAATTTACCGGATAAGTTTGTAACAGATACACGCAATATGAGAAAGCAAGTAGTCAAATTGAAAGTAGAAATGTTTACACAAAGGAAACTTCAAGTATTTGACCATTAAAAGGCTTAAAATCACGTTGAATTGTCATAAACATACGACTGTCGAGTAAATCATCAAATCTGGTATCACCATTCTCACATAAATACTGATTGCTCCACTGTCAGTCCTAAAAATCAAATTCCTTAAGGTCAGATTAAAAGCAATAATGGAGATAGTGTCTATTATATCTTGGACAAGGGCCTCCAAACTATCGCCCTTATCTATTTTATAGGATGTTCTTGCCAAATTTCGGTCAGATGTGTACGTCAGAATCGGCGAATTTTGTCACGTGATTAGATTTCAAAACACATAGTAAATTACAAACAGCACAGCCTGGACATTTTATCCTACAGTAACTATTTTAAGCCCATTTAGCACCGATATGTCACCTCCATTGTCAATAACACGTTAGAAATGATATCTGTAAAAGCAGACAGAAGGAAAATGACGGTAAATATTAGAGGAAATTATTTTTACGGAAGTGTAATGTCTGGTGATGAAAAATTTCATGAAAAAAATCAGATATTTTATTATACATGTCTAGTGCTCATGCTAACGATTGATTTTTATCATTGAACTTTGAATGTGTTTGAGATTTGAGATATTCTCGAAACATTGCTTCATTCGTATCTTAGCGAGAAGTGAGATATGCTGACAAATGTGACGTCATTTACATATATATGTACGAGTTGACACAATTAATTAATTTTCAAAAATATTTTGATATGCGTTGATTTCTTAACATCGTTTCTATATGTCCTATTGCTCACTAGTACGGTCCATAACATCTATTTTTATTTCTATTCAATAGAAATCACAAATATATATTTGTGTATCTTGTACAAATTCTACAAATTCAGAAAATAAATTCTTAAAATGTTAGACTGCATAAAACCAGGCAATGAAATAACCCCATTGATTTTTCCTACCAGTATACCAATATTCAGTATTGATACTAAAATAAATAGATAATTAAGTAAATAAATAAACAAGTAAATAAATCAATAAATATTGATCAGTAAAAACGGAAACGTAATTATTTCTATTTCTTAAAACCATAAACAATGGTTTCCCTTCAAATCCTTTTTACATAGAAAATCCTAGAACTGTTGTTTGTGAATTATATAAATACGTATCTTCGTGAATGTTCATCATGGATTTTTTTACATAAAAAATCTCTCATATATGTCCATATGATATATACCAGAGCAATAGTGCTTAAGCATAATACCAACACTCTATGTCCGGGAATGAGCATTGGGTGATAAGGATGTACAAAGAATAATTAAAAGAATATATTACTTATTCCAGAATACACCAGACATAAACTCGATCATGGACGAATCATATCGGGATGGGTGTGTTTAAACTGTTTTGAAAGCATAAATTCATACTAGTGTAACATATGTCATTATTTGTTCCAATGCCTCCGCTAAGATTCGAACCCGGGACCCCTGGCTTACTAGTCTGACTAGTCAACCGAGCGCAAGCTAAATAGAAGTTCCCTGGCCGAGCGGTATATTTCGGCTAGTATTTACCAGGGTTACACTAGTTACTGGAAACATCTTTCACTGATCATGTTTGTTTTTATAATCACTACAGAGAACGTATAAAATCTCTGTATAATTTCACATACCGTCTACCGGTAGCAATTTTATGTTTTATCTTTTTTCAAGCACGAGTGAAAACAAAGACAAACGTTATCACACACGTGAGACACGTGACACATTGTATATGTATAGTAAGTAAGTAGTAAGTAATCACAACATTAGTCCATTAAGGTCACCGAATCTAAAAATACCGAAATCCGTTGTACACATTATACGGTGAATATGTGATATTTAATCGTTAATTTTCGTGGAGTTTAATTATTATTGTTGAATTCGTGGTTACTCTTAACCTATGAATTTATAAGTTAGCGATTAAGAAAATAAAACAAAACAAACAAACAAAATTTAAAAAAATGAATAAATAAAAGAAAGAAAGAAAGGTAAAAATTGAAATGGACTTCGGTAATATTGTGGGTTTCGTTAGTTTTCTTTATTTTGTAAAACCACGAAATTTGAGATAGCGAAAAAATATGATTTTACAGTAACCAGGAGAAGTAGTAACCATATTTTTGTAAACATAAAACACAGTTAATATTTTAAACTTTCGGATCATCACACCATATTGTATATGTAACAACGTGTTTGAATTGAATATATAATATAGAAAATGACTCGTGCCTGCCTGGACCTTATACTCTGTGGTAATCTGTCGCCTCTTTGATGTGCATCTCTTGAACATTCCAAGAGTAAACTTTTCTTTGACGCGAGAAGATATTTAGCATTAAGTAATTTTAACACAATTATGATTGTTTCCATTTTCCTCACTGATTACCTCAAATTAATTTTATTAACACAAATCAATTTTATATAAGACATATGAAGGTAACGATAAGACATATGAAGGTAACGATAAGACATATGAAGGTAACGATAAGACATATGAAGGTAACGATAAGACATATGAAGGTAACGGTATGGAAGATGGAAAACACTGAATAATTACCGACATTAAAACACATGAAATATTTCGTACATTTGATATGAGATGCAGAGGCAATGTCGCCTCTCACACCGGTCAAGTGTATTGTAGGGGACCGTGTCTATCACCCGTGGGAATGCTTACAGATTGTTACAGGCGTTACGTAAGGTTCCAGGGCAACGTTAACCGGTATAGTTAACACATAACTTGATTGTCAGATTATTTTTATCAGGGAAACAATTCGTACGGTATCTGTCAGTAACACGGATTCAATGTTTATGTACTGTTAAAACAAATTGCTTTGTTATTTTATCTGAATGCCTCACGTTGTTTTTCGTTTTATTTATTTATTTTTATTTATTTATTTGTTTATTTATTTTTGTTTATTTTTTTTTCATTTATTTATTCATTGCCGGTTCTTTAAGTTCTCATTCTTTATTTTAATTGAAGTCTTTATTTGGTAGAAATTGTGTGTTATATTAATTATTAATTTTATGGAGAATATAGATCGTAGCTGATGGTTCCAATCATATTGTTTCATGAAAATGGTAAAGAAATTACATGTATAACCTTTGAACCAGTGAATATAATATTTAATGATAACTCCGATGTAAGTTAAATAATCAATAACATTGAAACTTACAGCAGTTTCTATCAGAAAAATCGTAATCCAGTTAACAATACGTTTAGGGAAAAAAATAAAATTGATGAATTAATGAATTTGTAAACATATAATTTTTGATGAAGATATAAGAAAAAAACTTCTAAAATTCCAGTATTTTGTTTTTAATTATTTTAACAAATTCGTATGATAAACTTCTTACTTTATCGATTCATGCAACTGTACTGGCTTCAATATCATGTTTGAGTGTTTTCACCAAATTCATTGCAACCGGAACAAATATGAATTTCAGAAAAAATATTTTATCATAACTGAAACCTTGCAATTTTATAGAAATGTATTAAAACATGAGTCTTTGACTCTTCTGAATATGACAAATACGTGAGTCCCTGGCTCCTCTGTATATGACAAATACGTGAGTCCCTGGCTCCTCTGAATATGACATATACGCGAGTCTTTGACTCTTCTGAATATGACAAATACGTGAGTCCCTGGCTCCTCTGAATATGACAAATACGTGAGTGTCTGACTCTTCTGAATATGACATATACGCGAGTCTTTGACTCTTCTGAATATGACAAATGCGTGGGTGTCTGACTCCTCTGAATATGACAAATACGTGAGTCTTTGACTCTTCTGAATATGACAAATACGTGAGTCTTTGACTCTTCTGAATATGACAAATACGTGAGTCTTTGACTCTTCTGAATATGACAAATACGTGAGTCTTTGACTCTTCTGAATATGACAAATACGTGAGTCTTAATTCCTCACAATAGGACAAATACTCGAGTCTTTGACTCCTCTGAATATGACAAAAACGCGAGTCTTTCACTCTTCTGAATATGACAAATACGCGAGTCTTTGAAACGAGGAAACCATATATTTGAGGTACAGATCTAAATCAAATTTAAAGATGCTTTGACCATTGACCAATGGTACATTTAGAGAGTTAATACGGATTGGTTTTAGCGGACGTGCACGATGCCTGAATATGAGGTAACTATATGCTACCAACCAATTTTTAGCGCTCTTAAGCATGTTTGTATTATCATAACTCTTGAAAATGAAATAGTTCTTTCTTAAGTAATTGTAAATACACTTAGATTTTAAGTTAATATATCGTGGAAATGTTGAAAATAAGGTATTGTTTAAACTGCGTACCGAAATTCTAAATGACTCCGTGAAGCCAGAATGCATTTTTAGACATGCCCACGATTGTATGAAAATAAACACAAGATATCTATAGTTTCGGTGAAATCAATGACATATTTACCGTCATGTTTAACGACGACGACGGCGACGATAATTTTTTTTAGAAAACACACCTTCAATATTTTTTAAAGTGGTTGTGGTATGTTTTTGTTTGAATTTGATGTGGAATTTTCTATTTCTTTTGTTTGATAAAATGTTCGGTGTGTTTGATGCTCGTTAGTAGACATGTTGGTTCCATTATTGTGTACTCATTTGAATACATAACATTACTTACGTAGATTTACAAAGATTTACAGGTCGAGTGTCGTCCATGAAAAAGACGACGCTTACTCTTCCGGAACAACTGGTCTGAATTCTCTCTATATTTGTAGGAGTCTTTGGTTCATATTTTGTCCTATCTATATGTGATGGAGATGATAATGAGATGTAGACGATGACTATGATGCCTGAGATTGAGATGATGACACAATAAGGATGACGACATATATGTTAGGGATGCTGACACCTATGACAGGGTTAATGACACCTATGACAGGGATGATGAAAACTATCACAGGGATTGTGACACCTATGACAGGAATGATGACACGCATGACAGAGATGACGACACATATGACAGGGATGACGACACCTATGACAGGGATGATGACACCTATGACAGGGATGACGACACCTATGACAGGGATGATGACACCTATGACAGAGATGATGACATTTATGACAGGGATGATGACACCTATGACAGGGATGCTGACACAAATGACAGGAATGATGACACCTATGACAGGGATGATGACGTCTAAGACAGGATGACGACACAAATGACAGGGATGATGACACCTATGACGGGATGATGACACCTATGACAGGGATGGTGACACCTCTGACAGGGATGATGACATCTATGACAGGGTTAATGACACCTATGACAGGGATGATGACACGTATGACAGAGAGGATGACACGTATGACAGAGATGATGACACGTATGACAGAGATGATGACACGTGTGATAGGGATGATGACACCTATGACAGGGATGGTGACACCTATGACAGGGTTAATGACACCTGTGACAGGGATGATGACACCTATGGCATGGTTAATGACACCTATGACAGGGATAGTGACACCTATAACAGGGATGATATAGACGATGATACCTGTGATTGATATGACACAATAAGGATGACGACATATATGTCAAGGATGCTGACACGTATGGCAGAGATGATGACACGTATGGCAGAGATGATGACACGTATGACAGAGATGATGACACGTATGGCAGAGATGATGACACGTATGGCAGAGATGATGACACGTATGACAGAGATGATGACACGTATGTCAGAGATGATGACACGTATGACAGGTATGATGACACGTATGGCAGAGATGATGACACCTGTGACAGGGATGACGACACCTATGACAGAGATGATAACACATTTGAAAGAAAACTATCATTTCTCGTTAGGCCATCATTACATGTCTAAAATGCTTATGAAAAATGATAATACGGGATATGTTTTCTGGTTGGACTGGTTAATTATAAAACTGTAAACACAATATTCAAAGTACTGGACACAAAACTGGCTCAGTCAATAACATTACAAAATCTAAAATTTTGATTTTTGCACTACACACCGCCAAGATCAACGCACAAAATCAAATTTAAGATTATTTCCCAGTAAAATAGATTACTGTTGAGGCGGGAAAAATATACTGGTATAAAATAGCACAAACAATCGTAGTTAAATAATCTATCGGTGATTTCGTAATAATAAGAAGAGGAAAACGATATTTTTTTGTATATGTGTGGAACTGTTCTGTTTACTGACTGTGTTGTGTCAATAATACAGACAAAAATTACCGCCAAAAGGAGTTGCTCGTGCAATGTATAAATGTCACATTTTGGCGACACATTCTGGAGAAAATTATTTGTTCTTTCTCAACAAATGTTATTTACGATCTTATTTCTTATTACACCAGTCAGTATTTGTATATTGATTAATTCACTATTCTGTTAGTTGATAAATTATTCTATTGTAAAATAAATATTCAGTTGGTCTGTTTGTTAAATATTCAATTAATTAGTCTGTTAGGTAATCATTTATTCTTTTTGTCAATTAATTACTCTGTTAGTCGATGAAGTTTAAGTATTTTGTATTCTGTTTGTCAATTCAATATTCTGTTTGTCAATTCAATATTCTGTTTGTCAATTCAATATTCTGTTTGTAAATTCAATATTCTATCGGTCAACTCAGTAATCAATTCATTATGCCATATTCTGTTTGTCAATTCAATATTCTGTTTGTCAATTCAATATTCTGTTTGTCAATTCAATATTCTGTTTGTCAATTCAATATTCCGTTTGTCAATTCAATATTCTATCGGTCAACTCAGTAATCAATTTATTATGCCATATTCTGTTTGTCAATTCAATATTCTGTTTGTCAATTCAATATTCTATCGGTCAACTCAGTTATCAATTTATTATGCCATTAGTGAAATAATTATTCTATGTTGGTATGACAAGGTAAGTCTTTATCTTTATCTACTTTATCTGTGATGAGGTAGGGTTGATATTTCTACTTCGATCTATAATGCTGAAGTGTACGCATGTTTGAATGTCTTTCGTTCTATTTATCAAAGATAAAGGTGGAATACAAGTAATGTCACGTTCTCAAATTAAGAACCGTTATAGCGACAAAAATACATCTCTATAAAGACGAGTATGCTAAAACACTGGCGTTGAAACAATAAGTAACATATTATTTTAAAAACAAGTTGATAAAATAGATGTTGGTATATATAAACCTCCATCATTTTATCAACCTTTGTGATGCATTCAACCTTAAGAAGGTATTTTATCATGAAAATAGTGTTATTTGGTAAAAGTATGTATGATTACGAAATCGCCACGTAACACCATATGTTAGAAAATGGAATGGCACCTTTCAGGAAAGGGTGTAAAACTCACGTAAGCAGCTTTGGAAAAAAAATGATTTCAAGTCTATATTGTATAGATAGGATAGTTAGCCGACATACAGATGTTGAAGTTATGTTAAATGGTTGGCGATGTTCGTGTAACCTATCATGGCTGTTTCCTTGTGTATAATGATATCATCCTGTGGCGATTTTAGGTATCCCCAGGTTTATGTTTACAAAGATCAGGCTGTCCATGATTACAAATGTCATTTCTGGAGTTTGTGCAAGTCTATTTCTCTTTTAATTCTGTCCCTAAAGATAGTTCTCAAGGAATTATTCCAAAGTATTGCAGTACATGTGCGTCAAAGAATGTTCTACTGGTTGTTATATTACATCGTACCTGGCGTAAAACCACTTGTTGGCGCTGAACTGCTAATTAACCAACAAGTCAGGTTAGGAGGCAAGGGGAGAAATGAAACTTAACTTTAAGGAAGTAGCTGGGCTAAGATTAGCAATCTTAGGTATGTTTCAACCAGCGTAAGACCTGTTCTTGGAAATTCTATATTCATGTTCATTGTGAGTTAAGAAAACCAAAATCAATGGCTATCTAGGGTTTATATCTCAAACATCTTATACTTAATTTCCAAATGATTTCCTATCAAGCCCAGACATTAGGAATGCAGACAGATGCGTCTGTTTATGAAAATGTTATGAGGTACGGTTAATCATTATCAGAAGAAACATGTGTTCTTAAATCGTTTACAAAATTTTCTTCTGCAACTGTGAACTCGTATTTATTCTAAAGAAGAATTTATACAAAATCAGTGAATAAAAATATAGAAATACATTATTCGTTAAAAATTGTTCGACATTAAAACAATCCTGGGGCATATCCTTAATGAACGTGTGTGTATCATATCTAACCTACAGACATAGATTTTCTATCTATATTATAGTTACAGAATATATTACGTATATAATACTTATCGTTATCTACACATTAATTAGCTCCGTAAGGTAGGCGTCTTTCGTATATGTAATGTTATCGTGAACAAAGGGGGCGATGATAGGCAGAGATTCTATCTCTTATTTCAGAAGATGGGACTCATTGCCAGAGTACTATGTACAGACTATTATGAACTGTGAATGCATTTTATCAAACATTCTGTACCATGCTGTACATTTTCTTTTGCGTTGAATAAGATCAGATATCGGTAACATCGACGTCATTACGGATAAATTTGTTCAGCATTTCTCCCTGGAAGAAAACATCGCGAGATCTCGCGATACCCCCTATTACTTGAACTCGGTGTGTACTAAACAAACAGACTGCCATTGAATAAAAGAAAAAAAAAGTAATGTAATGAAAACTACCTCAGGATTTGACGTAAATGATCAAATAAGTATGCATTATATAGCATTTAAATGTTTAAAATATATTTTAAGAGCTGTTCAAATAGCTAGTGTATCGGAAACATCTGTACCTCTGTCGGGTTCCCGTTAATAACGTTTCAAAAGATACGTTATTTATCTATTCCACTGTGTGAATGTTCTAGTACTGTTGGAGCTCGCCTTAACTGTTTAATGAGCATGTATTCACTACAAACATGCGCACACAGCACGGTCTCATCAACATGCATGCACGTTAGCGCCGATGTAGCACAGACGTAAGGATATATCCGTATTTCATTCAACAGGTCGGAAAACTCTTTACTTTGCTTTCAACTACACGTGTTGCATTTCATGGTAATGCGTTTAACATACAGACTGAATATTGAAGTGTTCCCTGTAGAAACCAAGCATTATACAAATAAAATTCAGGATATCATCACACACATCATCATCATATGTAGTTAAATACTTGAAGAAAAGTCTCGCCTTTTTTTAGTCTGGAAAATACTTAGTCGGATTTTCTAGCTCAAAACTCAAACGGAATTTTTCATGTTTTACACGTGTTTAAGCATTCCTCTTTAAGTTCACGTGTGAAGATCGGCTCGGTAGGGTCTATATCTTAAAGGGATTTATTGTATATGCCTGCCAAGGATTTTATATCTCAAGAAAAGTAAAACAGAAAATATCAATTAATTAATTAATCAAACTCTGGTTGAATTACATATGAATCTAAAAGTATGTTTTTCTTAATTCAAATAGAATATTTTATACTTTTTTTAACCCCGGAATGTGCATTCTTAGGTTTTATTCTAATATTTTAGAACATAAACTGTGCTTCGAATCTTTTTAACCTAGGTGTCATAACATGATTTACACTTGATTGAACTGATGGTCTTATTCGAACAACAGTCATTTTTCGATGTTACGCAAACATTTCTCAGACACCGATTCATGTCATGTACACGGTTTCCTCGTCATTCATTCTGACGTCATAACCATTGTCACACTTAAGGCGCAATACTAGACACGATGTTGTGATGGTGACGTCATAGATACCCGTAACAAAACGAAAGACGTCACCCGAACTCACGTGAAATATGTAATGTAAATGACTTCATGCATTATCATAACTTCGGTGAAAGACTTAAGAGTAATAAATGTGACATTTCGAAGTTTAAATACTTTATATAGCCAAACTTGTAATAGACAAAACATAAATAAATAAATAAACCTGCGAATCATTTCTGCTTTCATCAAACGGTGAACCCCCTAGCGGCGTTTACATTCACCACTACTCTCCTCAGATGGCTTTCTGCTGTTGGACGTGTTTATACGCTCAACTAAAATACCGAAAAAGACATGAAAATCTTAAGGTGCATTGACAAAGATTATAAAATACCATTGTCAAACGATCCCAAATGTAAATGATTGCAGTTCGTCGTTTCACGGTCACCACAAACATGATTAATATATCAAG